ATTGCCTGGTTGCATGATTCTTGATGTGACAAATTTAAACACAAGAATACTTAACATTACTGACATATTAGGATTCACATTCAAAGATAAAAATATTAACCTAATACAGATTTAATTGCGATCCTTAAATGTTTTCTATTGTTTACCTAACAACTAAATAAGTGGCATTTTATGTGTTATGATAGAGATTTGTTTTGAAATATTTTCATGGGCATTGCATGAATCTAAAAGTTAAATATAGAAAATTACAATGAAACCAAAGGAAACAATACGAAATTCGTCAAATATTTAAATTCACTTGAAATGAAAAGATGATAGGTTAGAGAATAAGTTTGTGTGTATTGGAATGAGACTTTTGGGAATCAACAGATTTTTCTACTCTCTCCAAATAGATAGATAGATAGATAGATAGATAGATAGATAGATAGATAGATAGATAGGAGTTTGTTTAATGAAAAAATAATCTCCCCACAGGAAACATTTGACTGCCATGTAAAAGGATGAACATATCTTTTGTCTTATTCACAAATGTGCGGGTGGCGTAATGGATTTCGGCTTGGAATGAGAAATCGGAGAGCCAATTTCGAATTCTAATCAAGTTTGTGATATTCACATATGCGCAAATACCCTGGGGAAAAATATGAATCCATTTCATTTCCTGTCAGCAGTGAATTAAATAGCAAATGCCAACTAAGCTCTCTAGCCGTAGTCAACAATCTTGGAAGGGGTAAGTCTTGTCTTAAAATTAAATCTGATCGGTTCGATACGGTCAAATTGGCAGTTGATCTCAAAAGTGATATAAAATCTGTTGTTAACTGGGACAAAGAATGGCTTGTTAATTTTAACGCCTCCAAAGCAAAACTACTTTTTGTTAATCACATCTGAGAGAGATTAACTTTTTTTTCTCGGCCTTCTATCAGAATGGATGATGCTAACCTTCAGGAAAATGACTCGTTGCGCTTTCTCGAGCTAACATTTTCTGCTGGCATAAAATGGAAAGATTATATTCACTGCGAGACATTTTCCTATCCACAAACTATCTTCCGTAATTGTAAGTCGACTATTCGTCCATTCTCCGAATATTGCTGCCATATATGGTCTGTTAATCCTGATATATATTTACAGATTCTTGATATAATGCAAAAAATAATCTGCAATGTTACCGGTCCTGATATGGCATCTCGGTTTGAGTCGCTTTCCCGCCACCGTAATTTAGTTTCCCTTTTCCGTTTCTATAAAAATTTTCTTTCATGGTAATATTTATAATTGATATTGCTCTCTGGTACCTAGACTCTATGAATTAAAGTGCAGTACTAGATTGGCACAAGGCCTCACCATATTATAGTTGAAATGGCTCGATGTTATCGTAACTTCTTTGCTAACAGTTTTTTCTCTTGCACTTCTCGCCTGTGGAAGCCCCTTCTGACGTCTTGCTTTCCATCCCACTTTGATCTTCTGCTGTCTTGATTCCTCTTGTTTTATTGTTCTGGCTCCTTAGAAATGTTTTTCTTTTTCTTATTCTTTCAACTCAGTAACCCCTACGTCTTAGTGGCTTTATTGCCTTGCTTGACGTGATTTAAAGAAAACGTATGTGACCGTTGAACCAAATCACTGGCAAGGCATAGTACCCAAAAGCCATTCCTGTCAGAATTGCAAAGATATGGACAGCAGGATGTTGAATGTGGTCAGTGACAGAATCTAACAGACCAGGTTATGGAATTGTCAGGCAAAATATCCTTCATAATGGATGGGATTTAATTATTCTGAGTCTGATAGAAAATGTGGAACACATAGAGTGATACCTTGTGTCTCTTAATATGTGAGCAATCGAAAAACCCTTATGATGCCACATGAAGGTGTTACCAACGAGTGTCCTAGTTAATCACGCACATGATGCAATTAACCCGAAGCTTTGTATGACTATCGCATGTCTCGTAACTTCAGTCATTAATACTGTCAGAAAACTGGACAATAACAGTTTGTTCCGAGTAGAGCAAAAAGATAGTCTACGGATGGAAGATAATCCTATGTATGTAAAAATCAACTCCTAATCTCATGATTAACTCCTAATCTCATAATCAACTCCTAATCTCATGATTCTAGGAACTTGTAAGAGCGCACATAAGAACCTTTGTACTGCATAGACAGATTGAAAAAAAAGCCTTTGACAGTGTTCTCATTTATGGATACTAAAAACACTTGAGCATTTTAAGATCTTCCAAATATTAATCAATTTTATATGATATGTCATTGTGAGGCACATCTTTTGTTCTATCATCCAAATGGTATAATCACATGAAAAGATTGTAGTCTATTCCTAGGGTTTTCTTTCTATCCTATTTCTTTTCTGTATTTCACTGATTCCATAATCAATCGAACTTCAAAAAAAAACATTGATTATGAATACGAAATGGGAAATAATATCATCAATTACTTCTTTTACAAGATTGACCCTTAATTAATTATATTGTAATGATGTTGACAAACTGGAAGATCCTTTAAGCTCTGACATAGGAATAGTTTTTTGAACTTTGAAAAATGTGTGAAAGCTTAATTCAAAAGAAGCAGGTTGTTGAGAAATAAAACTATAGAGATGAATATTGGCAAAATGATAGAAAGCCTGAAGGAATAAATGACAGAACCGGGGCCAGAAAAATTGGTGAAAACAAAACCTGGCATATGAAAGAAGATTTAATGTATCTTTCAATATGGTTTAGGTAAAGAATTTGTACATATCTTCAGCTTTTTCGCGAATTTGTATATATCGTCAGCTTTTTCGCGAATTTGTATATATCGTCAGCTTTTTCGCGAATTTGTATATATCGTCAGCTTTTTCTCGCTTTAAGCCATTTTCTCGCTTTAAGCCATTGACTAAGATTTTTTTCCTTTTCTTTGTTTGTTTAGTGGATATCAACTCCTTATTGCTCATTTAATGTCGAAATTTAATTTTCTTGGGATTATTAATAATTTCTTTGACAAAAATGTTATAATATTAATATATTCTTTTTTCCCCCTTATAGAAATCTATTGCTGGTAAACTTGAACTATGGAAATGTTATACTGATATATTAATATAAAATTTGTTATAATTTCATAGGTTTTTGACGCCAGTTTGAGAGATAACTATTTCTTCATATTTGGGAACCTAACAGGTGCTAGTACCCTGAGTCAGAGTGGACCTGGGAATAACACGCTCTTCAAAAACCTCCCAATCAGAGGGCTTGATGCCGGATGTAATTTATCGTCATACCCAGGACGAGTCTTTCCTTTTAATTTTTACTGTGTTTTTCTCCACTTTTATATTTGTTGATTTTTTTTTTTCTGTGGTGAAAGTGGTGGATATCTTAAATACATCTACCCTCATTTTCCAGGTGCAACATTGCATACTCTATTTTTTACTTATTACACAATATTTATTAAAACCTACAAACATCGTTGTTTAACTTTATCGGATGATATTTCAAAGAACATTTTTTGATTATCATTCTGTGTGACAGTATCATTTTACAACTGAACTTCTAACCAATTCGGCAACAACTTTTTTTATATTCTTGCGTAATTTGGGCATTTCTCCGCTCTTTTATGACATTACACATTTATGCTTTTACCAAAAATATATTAATATCCAACACTTAGGATTGAACCTGCTTTCCCGATTCCGTTTCGTAATATAAAGCCAGGCGGCATTACCTTTCTCTATTTTATTTTATTTTCCTTTAAATGTCCAATTTTTGCTCATTTTTATTTTCTTTCCAGATTTCGTCCTTCTTCGTTTTTCGGCGCTTATCTCGCGTTTTTCTTTTTCCTTTTATTCATTTTCCTTTCCATTTTTCTTTCAATAAATACTTCTTTAATATTATGTCCATCTTGTTCTTCTCTTTCGCATATCAGACAATTCTTTTTTTCACTTATTCTTATTTCACGATAAAATATTGGTATTCTGATATTCTCCAATCTTTTTCCTCGCCTGTAATTGGATATTCTCTTTTATAAATCCTTCTTTTTCGGCTAATTTAATCCGATGCTTATCTTTCGACATTCATTTTTGCTAATCCCCCACTGCAAGTATTGCATTGAAATAACAAATGCCAGTCAGCACTCGACCAACATTTGTCTCCCTTTTCAAATCCACTATTTTTTAAACTAATCTTCAACGTAATTCATAATTAAATAATGTTTGCCTTTTTATTAGCAGCAACAAACTTTATACTAAAGTGATAATGTTATTATCCCGTATACAAATGGCATTTTCCGTATGTGTGTTTCCATTTGTCTTATAATAAAAGCTTAATTATAATTCAATTAATTTCTTATACATGAACTGTACGTTTATTTTGTTTATTTTCTTAATTCACATTTCTTAGTAAGATCGTTGTAACTTTTGACGAATAATTTTGTACGTCAACTTAGATTACAATGAGGAAAACTTCATTTTCATTTTAGGTCCAATTTTCGACTGCAGAGTGAAACATTGATGAAGAGTTGCAAAACTTGAGCACAGCATTCGCCCGAAATGACAACAGCTTTTGACAAACAAAATTTTCAGACATTCCCGTTTGTTCGCTTTCTTGTTGACTTTTCAAATTGGAAACATTTTCGGACAATTTTCTGAGCCATTTCTTCCTTTTCATCTGGAAACTTAAAGCTGTCAAAATTGGCGCCCAAATTTTTAATTAAATTAAAGAAACCAAAGTGTAACTGTTGGAAGATAAAAATCAGCAATTTTTTTTTTTTTTCTTTTTAAATGCTTTTGATTTTTCTGCAGTTTCGTAAACAGGACAATCAGACAACAAAAACAATGGCTATTCGAGAAAAATATTTTGTTTTAATTTGTAAAATTACTTTCTCTAATAATTCCCAGTATTTCTTCTTTCTCCTATTATTATTATTATTATTATTATTATTATTATTATCAGGACCATTGGAAGTTACACGTATTTACAAATAAATATTTTAATGCTGGATTAACTCCTCATTACAAACCACTACATTTATCTAAAATGACCCCCTTCCAATACCTTTCTCTCTCTCTCTCTCTCTCTCTCTCTCTCTCTCTCCCTCTCTCTCTCTCTCTCTGTTGCATTTTATTTTTGTTTCTTTACACCCTTTTCTTTCTGTTTTGCTATGTTCCCCTCTCTTTCTGTGTCATTCTCAGCATCTGTGACATCAAGCGTGATACAAATTATATATAAGTACAAGAGTATTAATACATAGATTATTATTATTATTATTTCCTTTGTATACACATTTCCTTCCGGGTCCCAACCAGAGACCTAAGATCAGAAATGACACCATGCCATTTTCCACTGATCAGTTTTGTAAAAAAAGAAAAGAAACCAAGGGTACTCATATTTTACATAGATAAAGCTTTGTAATGTGTGAGTTATACTTGTGAGTAGAATTTTTTGTATTTCTTTAAGGCTTGGCCTACAAGAAATCCCTTCAGTAACTCTATCGTTTTTTTTTTTCCAATCAATCCGAGGGCCCCAAATTACAACTGAAATTAGTGATGTCCTCATGTGCTACATTTTGGAGATTTCCATTCCAAGATCCTTGTCTGCAGGTAGTGTCATGTTAATAAGAAAACGCATTCTGTTTTTGTGATCTTTGATCACGATGTCTGGGCGATTGGCCTTGAGTTTTCTGTCTATGTGTATTGTAAAATCCCATAAGATTTTTACAGGTACTATCTCTGTAACTGGGTTTGGTTGGTGTTCATACTAATTTATTGCAGTTTCCTTCACGTGAAATTGCATATTTACCAGTGCAGATATCGGCCCACTCTATCATGCCAAGGTTAATATTCAATGGGTGCTAAACACTGTGGAACCTGATACAAGATGGTCAATTGCTTCTGGATATGTATCACAGAATCTGCATTTTGGGTTAACACAATTTTTCAGTATGTGGAATTGATAATTTTAGGTTAGCAAGCATTAATCCTGTGCAGCAAGAATAAAACCTTCCGTTTCATCTTTTAACCCAGCACTACGTAACCACTAATGGGTATGGGGTTTGTCTACATCAGCTTGTTTGGTACTGGCAGAGTATTGACCAAGAAGAGCCTTATCCTGCGATCGTTTTTGCATTTGGTAAACTAAAAATTGCGTTTACATTTTTATGTTCTTTGACGCTGCAATAAAAGGGAATTTCAGGTGGGTGTAGAAGTGCAAATAAACCCCAATACAACTATGTATTGGGATTTATTTGCACATCTCCACCAACTTGAAATTCCCATTTAAATTTGTTGGCTACCTTTATTACTGAATAAAGTTTCTTATTTATTTCATGGTTTTGGCACAGATCATCATATAGGCTTCTTCTTGTTCCATTATTCCTATTCTTTGTGTCAAAATTTAGATCTATTGAGTGTGTTTCTGTAATTCTCCCTTTCTTGAATGTTACTTTTGCACATTTATCTAATTCGAAATCCAGAACGATGCCATCACTGAAATATTTTACAGTCTTGACCCTTCAACTCATTTGGTGCATTGCATTTGCGTTTACGTTGCTTTTTAAGTTCTTTGCTGCTACATAACTGTTTTATGGTTTATTTATTTTATCTACACCCACTTGAAATTCCCTTCTGAATTTGTTGGCTTCCTTTATTACTCAATAAAGTTTCTTATTTCTTTAATGTTCTTTGACACAGATCATCACTACCAGGCTTCTGTAGTTTTCCAGGTATCATTGAAGACCGATTGTTGTAAGTTTTCTAAGACAATTTTAGTTGAACTAATCCTCTGCCTCCTTCAGATTTGAACAACATCAGCCTTAAGATAATGTATACGGTAGCAAATAAGAAGCTTTCTTGTTTTGATATCCACTCGCGTAATATCAGCTATGATCCCATTAAGGATGTTAAAACTGTATTGCACCACTGAGCCAACCAAAGTGTTTATGACTGATATTCTGTTTTATGAATTCAACTCGATATTTAACACCAGACGTGTACGCCTGTAATATTCTTTTCTTAATTTCTCCTTTATTTGGCTATGCTGTATTCCATCTCATTCGCTGATTCCTAGCTATTTATTTATTCTTATTCTTTTGTTCAGTTTTCCTATTCTTTGTGTCGAAATTTAGATTTGTTAAGTGTGTTTCTGTAATTCTCCCTTCCTCGAATGTTACTTTTTCACATTTATCTCATCCGAAATCCATACCGATGTCATCACTGAAATATTTTACAGTGTTGAGGACGCCATTTGTTAAAGGGGTCCACCCCTTTTTTATACAAGTGGACTCGCCCAGTGTGTACTTGTACTGCTGCCAGTGAATACCCAGAGAGTGATACAGTGATACAGTGAGAGAGTGAGAGTGTGAGGTAACCTCTTTGTAGGAATCACAGTTGCGAGCACGTAGACTCAGAAAGAAAGTCCTACTTCGATACTGAATTTCCCAGACTGTATATATATTATTATTGCTACTAACCGCATTTCTGGATCTACTAACCGTATTACCAATTGTATTATTACGTCAATACATTTATTTGCTATATTTCATTCCTGCGTTTGTCATTCATTTGAGACCGGATTTCATCCCGGAATCCACAACACCATTCAACTCATTGTCGTCTTTGGTAAAGAGTCTGATATCATCCTTGTAGAGTAGATGATTAAATAATTCCTTGTTTACCTTGTATCCATAGTTATTACTGTTTAGTCCATGCAAAAGTGCAATTAAGGACAAACAGAACAGAAGTGGCGACAGGGAGTCTCTTTGAAAGATTCCTCGTCGGATATTCAAATTAGTAGTGGCAGTACCTTTATTGTAATTTAATTATAATATAGTTTTTCATAGTCCCATGACATATTTAAGAAAATTTACTAACAACAAGAAAGCTTTGTACATTTCCAAAACCTTAAGGATCCAAGAATCTAACACGCTATCAAAGGCTTTACGGTAATCTGTCCTAGCTGTACTGAGATTTCTACCTTTTTGCCTGCAATTTTCCAGGATCATTTTATTTATTAGTAGCTGAGCTTTGCGGTCATCCCTTCAACATCACTTCTGTTCCAGGGGAAGAATGTTGTTTTCATCGAGGTGCGTCAGGACAGACGTGAACAATTAATTTGTGGTGGACATGGTATTGGTCTATAATTTTTTTTAGATCATCTGTTTCAACTGTTCTTCGGTAAGCCATTCTGGAATCTAATTGTACTTATTAATTAATTAGCATTGATTGAGTTAATACAAGAATTTTATGGATTGTTGACAGATGATAGTGTCAAAAGTTGGGTACCTTGTCATTTTCTGAGGATTTCCATTTTGGTGATTTTGTTAGAACTTGCTTAACATTATTCTCGGTTATATTGAATACTAGCAGTAGAGCTCGGCGTTGCCCGGGGATGTAACAGTAAGAGATAGATCAAGTATCGACCATCATAAAGACTGAAAAATAAAATTGACAAAGATTATTGTTCAAGGTTGACGGACACGCATGTCTTAATTATTTTTTTTTGTTTTGTTTTCTGGGGTTTTTTTTACGAATTTGTCAAACCCAAACTCAAACAAAAACATTGTCTTCAATCGTTATGAGTCTACCGATTGAATAGAATTTTATTATAAACAATTGTCTTGTAAATGGACATTTTAAAGCATTCTGAATGTAAAAATAAAGAAAAACGTGTGCAAGACAATAAGAAACACTACCTGCCAAAAAAAGTGAAGTTTTGTTGAAATCGGTTGAAAAATGTAGGAAATCCGATCCCATATATAAACACACACACACACACACACACACACACACACACACACACGCACACACAAACACACATACACACAAACAAACAAACAACCTGGGTTTTATAATAAGTATAACTCGATATGAGTTGTCCCCCTTTCATTCTCGCGATAAGGATGATTCTTAATCGTGTTTTCAAATTGATTTCGTGCAAAAACAATTGTGTTTTTCCAAATTTTGGCGCTGTCAGAACCACCGCAAGGTAATTTTACATAGTCCTGTGAAGTTTTGTTGAAATCGGTTGAAAAATGTAGGAAATCCGATCCAATATATAAACGAACAGAGACACACACACACACACACACAAGCTGGGTTTTATAATAAGTATGATTATTATTATTTTATCATTATTTATTGAGCGTGCAGTATGACAGCAAATGATGCGAGGTGCAAATGCATAACAGCCAAATGTGCGCAATATGATAACAGATTTTGATAAAAAATTAAACAGCTAATAACCTTGTAAATGGGGGCCATTTAGAAATCATTGGTAAATTTGCTTTGTAACGCCCGCGCGCTAAATATCTCTTAAAACTTTCCCAAATCGTCATAAATCCGTGTAAATGTACCTGCTGAACTCGAATTAACAATTAAATTATGAAGAAACCTACCGTTTTGGAGTTATCAACAAGAAAAAATCGGATTTCTTGTTTGTTATTCGTCCCCCATTACTGCCATCATGAATACTGATTCACTGCGTAGTACTTCCGGTGGCCTTTCGCCTATTTACTTCTTTTACAGACTTTCCTTGCAGAAAATCACTACGCACTACCGTAAAGAAATCTTTTTTTTTCTTTGGTAAGTGTAGTTTTATTTATAACAAAAACAAATTAAATAATACAATAAAACCTTTTTTTTTCTGTGTCGAAAAGCAATGAAAAATTAAAAGAACAAATTAAATTATAAAAATAAAGCATTTTTTATATTTTAAAATTGAAAATAAAACAAAAATTAATGCACAAACTTGGTAAAGTAGGAGGGTTGATTGTATTATTTCATTTTTTTTTTTTATTTGTCCCCTTTTCTACACAGGATGTTAAAAAGCTAATTTACCGAAATACTTTCCGGTCGGATAACCCACTCCTCTCATATGGCCCCAGATTGAGTCTGTTTAAAACTCAATCTTCCTGGCCATGATGCTACCTAATTACTCCCGCTCCTGAACAGAGACGCACTATGCGTCTATTCTAGGTGACATGTCCATTAGGTTAAAGCCGTACAACTGACAAACCAATCTGAGATATTCAACGTGATATTTACTGTAGATTATCTTAATCCACGAACACAAATGTACTTATAAATATATCAAGACACTTCTAAATTAAGTTTAGAAGCCAAGGCTAGTGTTGTACCAGGACATTTATTATCATTGTTATTATTATTATTAGTAGTAGTAGTAGTAGTAGCAGCAGCTACTGAGTTTTCACATCAACAATTTGTGGCATACACTGGTGATCGAATGACATCAAGACTCCGCCTAAGTACTCTCTTCTCAGTATAGATAGTTGAAATTTCAGGGATGCGTAATAAGGAAAATGGCTTAGAATATTTCACACTCGCAGTACATAGGCATGTGTGAGGAAGGAAAGCTACCTAACGAGCTTGTGTAAATGGCTGACAGAACATGGAGGAAGATGTTGAGGTAGAGTAAAAAACATTGTTTAGAGAGAATAGAAAGATGTGGAGAGCCATAATTCCTCACATATTCAACGGATACGGCACATATTTTTTTTATTATATTTATTTTTATTTCTTTCTGGTTATTATTTCTTATTTTCAAAGTCTGTGTTTTGAATTTTAAAAACTAGAAAAATCTTCCCTGTATTTAAGTAGCCATTTTTTCATTATATTTTTAAACTTTTGTTAGAATTACTGATTATCAGTTTTAACGGCGTGTGTTTTTTACTACACACACGTGTCTCGATTTGATGACTGATTTAATTTTCAGGCAGTAACACATCATTTCACAACTAAAAGACTCAAGATTTCCCTGGTGCCAGCGTTTGCTAAAGACATTCCATTTTTTTTTTTCTTGAAATAAGCGCAACCACTAAATCTAATTTTACGTCAACTTTGATATCATTCAATCCGCCATGACTGTGCATAAAACACACACAGATAGCTGAGTCTCCAGATCTATATTTAAGTGAATCACACAATCGAAAATGGACATCAATGAGTAAATTTTAAGTAGATTAGATAGAGAAATATAAAATAAAGAGTCACAAAAATTTCAGAAATTTTAAAACAAGGAAATGCTTTTCGTGTTGTTTCTCAGTGCGAAAATCAAACAAGCAAAGCAAAAGCGACTGACACAAGTTAAAATGTTTATTTATTGACGTGTTAATAAATTGTATGCAGGTAGGTCTGTTTCATTAGGCAAGTAAGAATCGGCAGAGTAGGAAATTAGATCAAAATGATTTTCACAGTTTTGACATGCCTCGAAAGAAGATTTTTTTTTTTTTCAATAAAAATCAGGACTAATAAGAAGCGCGAAAATAATTTAAAGCTTTACATTAACACTTTCTCGACAGTCGGATTCTACACAAAAGGTTCTTCTTGTTGCTTCTCTCCGTTTTTCTCTTCGTTACTCTCTCTCTCTTTCTATCTATCTCTCTTCTCTCTCTCTCTTTCTATCTATCTCTCTTCTCTCTCTCTCTCTCTCTTTCTATCTATCTCTCTTCTCTCTCTCTTTCTATCTATCTCTCTTTCTATCTATCTCTCTTCTCTCTCTCTCTCTCTCTTTCTATATATCTATCTCTCTTCTCTCTCTCTCTCTATCTTTCTATCTATCTCTCTCTTTCTATCTCTCTCTCTCTCTTCTCTCTCTCTCTTTCTATCTATCTCTCTTCTCTCTCTCTCTTTCTATATATCTATCTCTCTTCTCTCTCTCTCTCTATCTTTCTATCTATCTCTCTCTTTCTATCTCTCTCTCTCTCTTCTCTCTCTCTCTTTCTATCTATCTCTCTTCTCTCTCTCTGTCTTCTTTCTCTCTCTTTCTATCTATCTCTCTTCTCTCTCTCTCTTTCTATCTCTCTCTCTTTCTATCTCTCTCTCTTTCTATCTATCTCTCTTCTCTCTCTCGCTCTTTCTCTCTTTCTCTCTCTCTCTTTCTATCTCTCTCTCTTTCTCTCTCTCTCTTTCTATCTCTCTCTCTTCTCTCTCTCTCTTTCTATCTATCTCTCTCTTCTCTTTTTCGTCTCTTTATTTCTATCTACTTATCAAAAACCAGACTAAAATTATAAGAAATACATTACATAATTTACATATCACCTTAGCGACAAGAACAAAAATATCTCTAACTACAAAATCTAACTGAGACAAACATATCAACGATACAAAAAAAATTGCACTTTCAACAAACCAGTATTATCTGTGATTTCGTTTGCCCACTAGGACAATGCCTCTTTAATAATAATAATAATAATAATAATAATAATAATAATAATAATGATAATAATAATTAAAAGAACATATACATTGGTTACAAAACTACTACCTTATCGCACCGATTAATTTGCGATTTATCCGATAATAGTTCAATTTTAATCGCACATCACCAACCAAGACTGCAACAAAACACAAGAAATCCGACAAATCCTTATAAATAACACAAAAATACTACATCAGATGAACTGTTTAAAAACGACGATAAATATTAGAAACATTGACCAAACAATGCAATATCGATAAAATTTCATTAATTTTAAGGACATACTTAATATATTTCATAAATATATAAAACGACAACACACGTATTACGCGTAAAGATGATATATATATATATATATATATATATAGGACGTATGAAGGCATCACATTTGAAAAGAGATATAACTGAAACAAAAAAATATATACAGAATTCCTACAGATAGGCAGAACATTATAAATCAAAAAAGTATGATAGATTAGAAACACCGAAAGTCTTTAGACATTGGATAACATATGTAAATTAGGATTTTCACCGGAAATCAGGGAAATATTCCAAAATATAGAAAAAAGAAGAAAAAAGAATAAATCTACGAATATATACTGTATGGCGACAGTCGGTTTCACACCAGAAACCAATGTATAGACGACATAATCTGTAATAAATTCGATACAGAGCACCTCTTCCTCTACGAATATAACAGATTGTTCACACACACACACACACACATATCTATATCTATAGTTAACTATATCTATCTATTCATCTATATATATCTATATATATATATATATATATATATATATATATAGATATATATATATATATATATATATATATATATATATATATATAGATAGATAGATAGATAGATAGATAGATATATATATATATATATATATATATATATATATATATATATATATATATATATATAGATAGATAGATAGATAGATATCTATATATATATATATATATATATATATATATATATATATATATATATATATATATAGATAGATAGATAGATAGATAGATAAAGTGTGTGTGTGTACAAATATTTTCCTTCATTTCGCAACAAATTGCGAATTATCTATCATAAAACCTGCCAGAGAGTGATCTATGTCAAAAGACAGACCAATATTATTATTAATTAAAGAATATCAAACACTTGAAATCCGATGCTTAATAATTTTTATTTCATGATTGCTCTATAAACGCAAATCTCAATCTTCAAGACCTTCAAACAAATCCCAAATGAAAAGAAAATACTCTGGGCTAAAATCTACCTATGATATTTTAAGTGTTTGATATTCTTTAATTAATAATATATATATATATATATATATATATATATATATATATATATATATATATATATATATATTTGAAAAAGATTCTTACAGGTACAAAATTTTATTATGGCAAGGAATAAGCGGAATGTAAAGGACATAATTATGAAAACTAAGAACTAAAACAAACAACCGGCTTCGTCCCAGTACTCCTCAAGTTTGATACACTGGGATTATTTAATCATAAACTTAAAGGGAAAAAAAACCATTCAATGAGGGGGAAAGGGAAAAAAAATTTTATATATGATAGAAAGAACTAGAGCCAATCACATTCAAGCCCAACAAGCAATCTCTGCTTACAGAGAAACGGTCTGGGACTTGATGTAAATGGACTCCAGAACCTTCAAATGATATGCAGAGTGTGACTTCGCCAGAATGGAAAAACAGTCAACACTCAAACCAGCAACACATTCCTGCTAGTTATAGCGTGTTCCGCTATAGATGACCCGGATGTATTCACTAGTTGGCTTTTTATATATATATATATATATATATATATATATATATATATATATATATATATATACATACATATATATATATTATTAATAGAGAGAGAGAGAGTGTGTGTGTGTGTGTATGTGTGTATTGGGGCAGTAGATCATTAATCAAACATATATTGCTAAATAAAAGAGACAACGAATGTCTATTATGTTTGATCATTAGCCGCTTTAAACTTCAGATAGTGGCTTTAGTTTTGGAGATAAAAACTCTCCAACTTTTGGATATTTTTTTATTATGCTGTTTCTCAATCTAAGCTTTTGGCTTCACATGAGCCATAGGCAGGGTGATTATATGGACATATATACAACAGAGATGTTCACTATCAAAGCTGACGTCCTGTTATGTTCACCTAGAAGTAAACATAATAGACATTCCTTGTCTGTTATATTTAACAGTATATGATTGAATGAATATATATATATATATATATATATATATATATATATATATATATATATATAGATAGATAGATAGATAGATATAGATATATAGATATATATATATGGTTGGATAGATGTGAGTTTGTGACACTGGGTTTCACGCTTTGGCGATCGTCAGTCAAACTGATTAATTAAAAATTAATCAGTTTGTCTGACGATCACTAAAGAGTGAAACCCAGGGTCATAAACTCACATCTATCCAACCATATATGTTAACTCTATCTCTGATATTGAGCGCTTTCTAATAAGTACCATATATAATATATAGATAATTATACATATATATATTTATTTATATTTATATACACTTTTCACACCCACCCACACACACACACACACACACACATATATATATATATATATATATATATATATATATATATATATATATAGAGAGAGAGAGAGAAGAGAGAAAGAAAGAGTGAACCGAGCTATAGGGGTACCTATTTACTCGTATTAGCATTTTCACAGCATAGGAGGGTGAGCGTTTTTATCGTGACAACTTCTGTAGGAAAGAAGTCAAACAAGACAAAGACACTTTCCAGGCCAATGAGGAGTTAATAAAACCTCTGTTGATGGTAGCTTGAGGATGGGATATTAGGGAGTTGAACGGTTTAGTTGTTTATGTGATTTCTGTGTACAGTTAAAATTAATTAGGTAATTGTTGGTGTATATGTTGTCGTAACTTGTAAGTTAAAATGGAGGAAGTAAGCTAACAAAAAATGAAAATAAATGAGTAAATAGAACAGCAAGGACAGAGAACACACAGAAACTTACAGGAGAGACTATTCTATTTGGTCAAAAGTCTCGTCTTTTCTTAAGTTGATGAATTTATAGCTTTGCCTTTTTTCAGCCCTGTGTAGGTGGGTGGTTCCTCATAAAAAATAAAATACAAGATTATTTGCAAAAATAATTTACTCATACAATTACAGGCAGTAAGAGACAAAAATGTTAAAAAACTTCTCTTTTGATCTCTCTCTCTCTTGATCTCTATCTCTCTCTCTCTCTCTCTCTCTCTTGATCTCTCTCTCTCTCTCTCTCTCTTGATCTCTCTCTTGATCTCTCTCTCTTGATCTCTCTCTTGATCTCTCTCTAGATCTCTCTCTCTCTCTTGATCTCTATCTCTCTCTCTCTCTCTCTTGATCTCTCTCTCTCTCTCTTGATCTCTCTCTTGATCTCTTGATCTCTCTCTTGATCTCTTGATCTTTCTCTCGGTCACTGGCAAGTTAGTAGAAGTTGTGAAAACAGATATATGGATGTGGAAATAAAAAAGACAATATAATGAAAAATGAATAAAAATAAAAAAAAATATATATATATATATATATATATATATATATATATATATATACATACAAACACAGACACAGACACACACACACACACACACACACACACACACACGAGAAAAACAGGATAATTTGACAGATGAACACATTCATCAATATACTTATCTTTTAAATTCCCTATATGTAAGTATATTAGTAGTCCGTATCCTAATGAAGATAACATAATCCCTTTCCTTGTCCAAGCATTTAATACGCCGTTTCTCCATAAATCCCATTTGATCAAACATTATACGAGGGTAAGCCAAAAATTATTTGCACTTTCATAACATATAACAAGAATGCAGATAATTTTTGACTTACATTGAAAATTTCAGATCTAATTTCAGTTATTTCACTGTGTCAGGCTTCAAGCCCAGTGTTATGCTTCCATCAATCAAAGTTATCTTCACTTCTTTTTCATTTTTCATTGTTTCTTTGCCTCTTTCCTTTTTGTTTCCTTTCTGATCCCCACTTCATTCCATTCTGTTTTGGGCACCTCGTCATGGTGTAATGGTTAGCAAGCTTGTCTCTTTAGGACAATTAAGAGTGAGTAGTGAGTTCAATCCTCAGTGAGTGCTCTATACTTTTAACCTCGTGTCACATATAGGATACGCTTAGTAAGCCACCATACTTCTCATTCATTTCTTTCTGCTTTTTTTTTCTTTCATGTTGATTCTATGTCTTTCAATCTTTCTCTCTACATAACCCCTTTCTAACTTTACTTGATTTCTTTTTTCTATTATTAGCTATTGACTGTAAAAAGTGCTCATTTCAACTTGAAATTAATAATTTGCCGACACTGTTTATTGTTCGGTCAGAAAGAGACATTCGATCATGGCTCTCCTCTTCTTCCTATTTCTTGTAGCTCTCAATAAGTCTTATCTTTTTGCTACTTCTTCCAGACCCTGTGTTGTAGAGTAGTTTTCACAGTGGAGGCTTGTATTTCAATGTCGTCCTAAATTAGGTTCGACGTACAAAACGTTAGGAACTTGGAAATAAGAGTTAATGACGCAGCAATCTAGTTGTGATGGTTGGTACTTCAATGTCCGATATCGACTGACTCGCTCAACACCACTGAGCCCAACTGGCCACTGCTACCACTACTACCACTTATTATGTGTGGGAGAGTCTATTAATAATAGAATAGGTACGTCAGGTATAACGCCCTGTTCTGCCATCAACT